TTCACGGTCTGTTGTTCTACGGCGGCGTCCAGTGCCCCTTGCTCTTTGCGTACGGCCTTCTCGAAGCCATGCGTGACAACACCTAACCACAGTGTCTACACTTCTTTGCACTCTAACTGCAATTGCCCGAAAAGAAAGTCCAGCTTCCCGAAGTCCCACTATACGGCCCCTATCAAACTCACTAAGTTGACGAAATCGTACAGGTCTCCGTACTCTAGGCATCGTAACCGATCGTAAAGGATGTCAAGAACCAAAATCCGCCAACGTTGATTCTTTACTGCGGCTGAAATATTCATTTTTAGAGCTTTAGTGAATTAAAAAAAAAGCAGTATAAAAACTGGAATGTCCAACTGATAAGGCTGAAAATTTTTTCACTTGTTATTTACATTAAGATAAATACATTCACCAACTTTTATTAAAATAAAACCATTTAAACTGGGTGTTCGGATTTATATGTCACTTAGTATAATACGAATATTTACAAAAGCATATCAGTAAACTTATTTGTCAAATACTCATCAGTACAGGAGAATGTTTTTTTGTTAGATAGTATTTCAGTTTCTTGTGGAAAGCATCAATAGGTTTTGGCAACACGTTATAGGTAATGAAATCGGAACACCTTAATCTACCGTGACGACCGTTTTACCGCCGAGACTTAATTCTATCACAGAGCATTTCGGAATACTTTTCAGAACTCAATTAAACCGTGTGAAAGCGAAGCTGGATGGCATGAGATACTTCCTCCATTCTCAAGATGATGATATAACAACAATTGCTAGACTTCTTGAGCTACCTATGCTCGAGAGCGCAGAAGATTGATGCTAATTGTAAATTACGGGGTATGTCTACCCTGTGTGAGCCAACTATTGACTAGATGGAAAATGCTTAAACTACTTGTAAGATATTTCAAAATATGTAGGTCACATATCAACGTATCGTGGACTTAAAATAGGCTCCAGGGTGACATCGGTAATTTTTTCCATGGGAAATGGGGTTAATTAGATATCGGCAAAAGCTAATTGTACATGTATTAGCCCCCAAAAATTTTTTGAAGAGTGGGGGGAGCAAATTTTCTCAGTCAGGCCAAATCTTAATAATCCCAAATTTACACAACAACATGCCATATATACAAATTTTAGAGGGTAACTAGATTGAGGGGAATAATAATAATAATAAACGTCTTTATTAAATAATATATACAATATATATATATATATATATATATACAGGGTGACTTTGAAGTTGAGTCATTAATTTTCAGATAATGATTGTAGAAGGAAGATAAACCAAAGTATGTATGTAAAAATAAAAAAAAAATTAAAAAAAATGTTTACCTTGTTTTATAAAGTATCCTCCCGGCAAGTATTCTTGGAGCACCGGCATGCCGTCAACTGTGAGGTCTTAAGTCACCTGATTCACGAGCCCGTTGTACTACATTAACAAAGGCACGAGGGGTTGGTTGCACTCGATTGGGAAACCGATCCGCATAAACATGTGCCATTTTTTATTTCGTTTGTGCCACGCAACAGACACCACTATTCACTCACGCGTTACCGACTGACACTGACTGTATACAAATGAATAAAATAGTTGTAAAAACATCGTTCCAAATTCTTTCGCTTTTTTGTTTCCGATGCGATGAACCGATAAGGCGGATTATATCCGTTGTTGCCAAACACGAGCACATAATATTATTATTGAGACAGGGCGGTACTCAAACTTCCAAAGGGCTATAACTTTGTTACTTTAATTTTACCAGAAAAATGGTAAAGGAAAAAACATTTCTTTTGATCAGATCTACTCACTGTTAAAATAAATGACTCAACTTCGAAGTCACCCTGTATATATATATATATATATATATATATAAGGTGAGCAGTAGTTATTGCCAAAGCCAACGACTAGTTGGGTACAAAATACAATTACTTGTTAATTGGGAAATTGGCAAAACTTTTAGGCTTAAGTTGACTCTTTTGACGATAAAATCAAGCTTTCGGCATTCTCTGTGGAGCCTTCATCAGGATTCTGAAAACACAATTGTGATGCTAGCAAATAAAACAGGACAGATTCAAAATGTCAGACAACTTACTCGTGGGTGAGGTTGTAGCCACAAGGTGTTTCAGAAAGAACGTAGAGAAGATCGAACTTGTGATCAGTATAAAAACAAAAAGGACGGGGAGATTGGGCTTGTTGAAAAACGACAGAGATATATATATATATATATAAAGTGTAACTATAGTGGCGAAGTTTAGCAATATGCTACTCTAACACTTAACCACTAAAGTTAAATATTACGTTGTTAACAGCTAACAGAAAAAAAAATGCAAGATATATATAACAAATCACTTATAACCCATATGAGAAGCGGAAAATGAGATATTTTGTGTGCACATACTGCTACTCTAAAAAGGTCTATGAAATATTGAGGGAAAAGTTAATCGTTCAAATAACTCAACTTAACATTGTAGCGGAAACGTGGTAAACTCATGGTCTTAAATTTACTGTCCAAAGAATTATATATTGCTGCAACGTTATATCAGAAACTTCGTTGGAACAGAGATGTTGTATGCTTCGGAATTCTGATAACGTGCCTGTCTCTAATAGCTCTATTGTGAATGGTGTTATTAAAAATTATTTTTTCACATAGGTATTCTGGCTTAGAGTTAATTAAATTTTTATGGATAAATGTGGAAAAATGTAACTTGACCAACTAGTCAAACTTTAGCCATCTCAACTCTGCATATTTGTGAGAGACATGGTCGAACTTTCTCATGCCGAATATAAAGCGAACACAGCTGTTTTGAATCAATTGGATTCTGTGTTTAGTGACCTGATCCAAACAGGGAAAATATAGAATACTGCAGTAGTTCAAGACAGACACAACGAAGGTTTGGAAAAGTTTTTTCCTCATTTTGAAGTTTAGCAGATATCTGTTTGATATAAAGACTGCGTAAACGTGCATAGGTTTTTTGTGTCAGATTTTTTACATGTTCGGTAAATCTTAATTTTTGTATCAATTTCTACACCCAATATTTTTGCGCTATTAGTGAGCTCGAGCTGCTTATTGTCTATGTTCACATTTAAGAGCGAAACAACGTCGTTCCTTCTGCTGTCAACAAAACAATAAAATCTTAGATTTTTCCGGGTTTATGCTTAGGTTGTGATCTGCTGAATATTTGCATAGACTATCAATATCTGCTTGTAATACTTGGACAGTGCTCTGTATATCTTCTATACCGGAACAATGCGAGAGCTGGGTGTCATCAGCGAACGATTGAATATCAAAGTTGTAAACTGATCTAGATAAGTCAAATGTATATATTAAAAACAAAAGAGGTCCCAAAATGGAACCCTGAGGCACTCCTGAAGGTATGCGAGTGACATCAGATGTAATACTCTTCAGTAAAACACATTGAGTCCTGTTTTTAAGATAGCTTTCAAAAAATTTCATTACAACCTCATAACAACCAACAGAACGTAGCTTAGCACATAAAAGTTTATGAGGTCGCATATGTTTATTAAAGCCGATGTTGTATTATAATGTTTTCTAAATCCCGATTGATTAGGTGGGATTATCTGATGTACTTCAATGTATGATATAAGTTGAACAATCTTTTCAAGGATTTTTGACAAAATAGGTAGTAAACTGATTGGCCGAAGATCTGATAGGAGACCGGGTTTCAAAGTTTTTCCTATAGGTATTATCAGTGCTTGCTTCCAAATTTTAGGGAAGTTACCGGTTTAAAGACATAGATTGATAATGTGAACTAAGTGGAGAAATATAACAGGTAGGCTTACCTTTATCATAGTTAGCGTAAGGCCATATATTCCTTTAGCATCTGATTTAAGAGATTTAATAGTTTGTAGAATTTCTGAAGGATCAATGATTCTGAATGAAAAAGAATCAGGTGGAAAGAAGTGACGATTTTTGTATAGGTGACATAATTCTTCCGAAGCATTATTTGTACTGTAAACTGACATAAAATAGTCATTGATTTCATTTGGATCAGATAGATTATCTAGAAGAGGGAGTTTTGTCCGAGAATGTATATTAAGCTGCTTTAAGCCAATCCATACCTTTTTTTCGTCATTCTGTTCAGATAAAAATTGTAGATATGCTCTTTTCTCTTTCCTCACCTGAGTAAGCGCGTGATTTCTTTTTTGCTTGTAAATATTTAGGTTTGCTGTTTATTACACCCAAGTTCGTTAACCGATGAAGACATCAGGCTGATAGCCGCTTTTTAATGTTTATGGTTTGAGAGCTCTGCCCAGCTGGTCCAGTAAGAGTGGCTATTTTATACTAATGAGGTACCAGAAAAAAAAAGGGTGAAATATAGCGAATGAGCTTTAAAACCCATTCGACAAATTTTAGCAACCAATAGCAGCGAAATATTGGAAACAAAATATTGTCAAAGTATGAGATGATAGCTTGTCCATGAAATGTCACCAGCTTATTGAATATTAAGAAATTACATATAATTTTGAAAAATGTTTGATTTTTCAATAAAATTTTATTTCAACATTGCTGATTCTTTATTCATGTTTATATTATTTTCTGCAGTATTTTGCTTCTTTAATAACACCTACCTACCGTATGTTTCTGCATATAAACCTGTCGCAGATAGCCTTTAAACACCTACTTGATGACAAAGACTTTCTACCAAAAAGTCCTCAGATTTTGCTCGTTTCCTCACGTTCAGTCATTTAGTTGTCATTCAACAGTACCTTGGTAATAACTTCGAGTATATGGCGAACTTAATTCTGGTATCAAACGTTAATACTCGTACACTGTATTGTCAACAACTATTTCTTGAATCTAGGATCTTGAACCTTTAAAATGCCTTTTTGAAAGTCTAGATACGACCATTCTTCATCGAAATACAACCTGTCAAAGATCACCGAAACATTTTGATTGTTTTCCTTGCTCCCTTAATTTTTTTGAGTAGTGTATCTTATTTGTTTTTGAAGTAGCCTCGCAGGTCGGAAAAATCAATGACATGTTTTCTTTTGAAAAAAATTTAATAGAAAGGTCGGTATGTTCCAAAGTAATACCTACAATTAGGACACGTGTGGTGTGTATAATTACAAGACTTTATGCAGTATGGCAGCACTGCGCAAGGCCAGCACATAAAGACGCACAGTATCAGTGCCATGATGTGGGTCATGTGTGACCTTGTCCTTTCGATGTTAGTCACCACAATGGTCCTGCACCTGGGGCATATGATGTAGATCGGGTCAGTTCCTAATGTAGCCTACAAATGGAAAATAATATCATTTTCGTCTTTCTATGAGTCAGTTATACACATCGACATCATCGATAAACCTATTGGCAGTTTTTCGCTAAACGGTTAAAACACAAACTCCTGTCGAATAAAACAAAACTGTAACTTTTCGCAAACTTTTTAAAGACTGGCGTATTTTGCGACAGTTGAAGTTTTGTTTCTCGTGTCTCGCTCGGAAACGGTCACATCAAAAGGTTTCAACGTGTTTAGTGTGTTTAGTAAAAACCATCGTGTCGTGGTTTCTATTCCCGCCTTGCTAACCTGAAACGAGTTTTTTTACCAAATTAGTAGATGCATGACGTAATTTCAAAAGATAAGAAATTTGTTTAGAGACGGGGGGGGGGATAAATTTATAAGTACCTTAGCTTTGATAACTGTCCCCATTAGCAAGGAACCTCAGTGTTATTGCTAATAAATCTTTAACAGAACTTGAATCTCCAAAGTTTGTTTTTGCAACTTGTCTGCCAATTAATGTAATTAGATCTTCAAAACTAAAGGAAGACATTCTCAGAAAATAATGAAATGACATGCGATGTTCCCCATGCAATGGATATCATTCATCAAGTTTACTTTTCTAGATAAATGTGATCGAACCCAATGTATGTGTTAGCGTTTTATTCCTCTCTTAAAAATGATACTAATTTGATCATTAATAAATATATATGCCAGGTTAAAGTGTTTACTCGGCTAGTTTATTGACAGATATAGTTACAGGCAGCTAGCTTATCATAGATACCGTACATATATACACTATTTTCAAAGGACTTCAGCATCAGCTAGACTCACGTAAGAATAAAAAAGCTTCGTCTCAAAACATGTTGGTTGTTTATTGAAGAAAAACTGTGCTTTGACTTCCTCGTGACAACTAGTGAAAAAGGACCGAAAACCAAAACAAAATACAGGGTGTAAAAACGTTATGATAGTCATTATTTAAATGGGTGATAGATGGGGTTAAAAGAAGACAAAAGTTACATATAACATGGGGGTCAAAACGGCATTCTTTTAGAGAAAAGCGACTTTAAAGTAAAATAAAATCTGACAACGCCGCAATGCCAGACGCAAATTACGACGGAACGCAGTGTAAATAAAGATGGAGTTTGTTATTTTTGGCTCTTAGGTATTATTTCATTATTTGATAATGTACTCGTAAAATGCAAATAATTAAAAAAAACGGACTTACCACAAACTGTCTCAGCGCTTCACCTGGTGTGTGAAAATTTATTGAACGTATTAAAAAAATCCGCTTATAAATAGGGAACACAATTTTGATACATACATTGTTTTTCTTTTTAAAACCCATACTGCACTTTTTTGTATCTATAATAGAATGTGTTCAAAATGTCGTTCTCCACTTTCCACACAAGCTTCATTACGACGAACGCAGTTTCTTCTTACTCTAGGTCCTCGAAGTTGTCCATTTATTATTTCAGCCGCATTAAATTTTTTTTGCGAAGTTGTGCTTCAGTTGTTATTGGACCAGCCCCATAAACCACCGCTTTAAGTTCTCCCCAATACCATCAATCCATCGGATTCAGGTCAGGAGATCTTGCTGGCCATTTTCGAGGATTAGGAGCATTTCGACCGATCCAGCGATTTGGATAATGTTCATTCAAATACTGAATGACGCCTATAAAAATGTGTGGTGGTGCCTCGTCATGATGAAACCACAAATTATGTCTCCGTTGTAATGGCATGTTGTCTAAAGTCTATTCCGAAAGTTCTGGTAGGTTATTGGCTAAAAAACTAAGGAATTCTTCTCCTGACAACTTTGGGGGTAACTCGAAAGGGCCAATTACCTGATCGTCAAGAATACCCGCCCAAATATTTATTTTAAAACGTTGTTGTTAATGACATTCACGAATGGTATGAGGATTTTCTTGGGCCCACGTGTGAGTATTATGAAAATTTAATATCCCATCTCGCGTAAAAGTACATTCGTCCGTCGCTAGAATGTTTTTAAAAAAAATCCGTATTTTCAATGTTTTTGTGCAAACACCACTGACAGAGTGTTAGTCTGCGAGGATAGTCTTCTGATAACAAGTCCTGCACTCGTTGTACATGGTAGGGATAAAGCAAATTTTCCCGTAGGCTTCTATGGACTATGGTATGCGATAGTCCTACGCGGCGGCCTAATTCCCGAGTGCTGATATCTGCATTGATTTCCACGATATTTAAAATTCGTTTCTCCTGTTCTACAGTAACATGTCTTTCACGAGTGCGAATATTAGTGGGCTGAACACTTCCTGTACCTCGAAGTCTTTGGTACACTTGCACAAATGTCCTTCTGTCTGGGTGTACCCGTTGGCGAAATCTGTCGCGATAAATTTGAGCAGCTGCAAGATTTGAATTCTGACGAGCTTCACCGTAAACTAACAACATGTCGGCGAACTGTTGATTCGAGAACATTGTAAATAAACACGACGACGTACGCGAGTAAAAATAAAACAACATACTAACCACTGTTACCGTTTGCGATCGATTGCCGGTTCGATAAGAGTGATGAAAGACCGACGCGCTGTTGTCATGTGTTTTAAATATTTAATTTAATGAAACTTACTTAATAACTGCCTACAAATTTTGGCTTAACTTAGAAAAACTTAATGCCATTTATTTGTTAATTGCCCAATTTAAAAACGTTTTAGATTAGGTTATAAAAATTAGTAAGATTGTGGTGATGGTGGTCGATATAAAGCACTTAGGGCCGATTTCACCATTTGACAAACCGTTATTCTGCACCAATAGGGTACGAGTACTAAACAGTCCCTCAAATATACCCAATCAGCCTCAAGATCTGTCCGTCAAATTTTTGGCAGCAAATAGCATCAAAGTATTCAAAACAAAACACTGTAGAATATGAAGTGACAGCTTGCCATTGAAATATTTTCAGTTTATTCAATATTATGAAATTATCTAAAACCGAGACAAAATTAAAAAAAAAAAATGCTTGATGGCTGAGTAAAATCCATTTTTTTCAGTTTAGCTGAAGGTTTCTCCATGTTTATTGCAACTTTTGTAATCCATATGTGATTATATTAACTCAAGATCACCTACTGGGTGTTCATAGTTTATCCTACCTTTGCAAACTTGCACTTCCAAATTCTTACATGAAAAAGCCTTTTCCCTCAAATTTTTGTTAGGTGTTGCGTTTCAACACATTCATACACTTCTTTTCAATTCCTCAACGACATTTTGACACCACTGGTCCGAAATTGTTCAAGATTTTATTCATATATTCAATTGCAGTTGCAGTTTTTTTATTTTAATTTCAGTGTATCAGACGCACCATCGGTGATGGTACATGGTACACTCAACATAACCACGTATTTCGAGGTTAGTGCAGATTTAACTGTACACGACAGTGTAATATGTAATTCTGCACAAGAAAGATCTTGTTTTTATTCCGAAAATCCATTTTTTAGAAATAACACAACAAGCTCAAAACAACAAGTGACCACAAAACATAGACTACAGTAACGTTGGAAAATAGACCAAAGAACAATTGACATTTGAAATTAGTGTCTTACAATGTTAGTGATGAGAGGATACATTTGCAATCAGTGGAATGCATTGGAACGGTTAAAAGATATGAATTGAATCGTTTTTACGTTATCTCGACTGACAAACTGGAATATCTGCTCTGTTTCGGTACATATATTTTTTGTGGTATTGTTGCATAAAGTAGTTTGTTCACGAACCAGTTCCTAGAACTGAATGCAACTTAATGCAAGGAACTAGAAAGCACATCACTATTTCAAGTGATCGAAGGAGGGACAAATTGTCATTTCATCGCACTAATGATGAGAGAATCGAAAGCCTGAGATTCGCTTTGCTTCCGTGCTCAGAGATATAGTGTTCTCTTCTGATAAAATTAGCTCAATTTTTGTGTTTAAAATACTCTCTACCTTAGTTAATACCTTTGATCCTGAAGTTGCTCCCAAAACAACATTAAACAACTCTCATGTCGTGTCGCGTGCAGTAATCTGTCAATGAAGCATATTTTTCGTTTATTTGTCCTTTGCCGTGTTACTATGATGAATCATCGAAAAGAATAATAGTAAACCACGAGCAAATAGCTCGGTTGCATTCAAAGATGGAAATCGAGGCAGACGGTAGACAACACTGAGTGAAACACTAGTTCAAAATGCGCACCAAAAAAACATGAATATGCAAATTGGTTCTGTTATAAGAACTTGGAATATGCACCAGGCCAACACTGGCTTCACTGAAAGAAAACGCCATTGAATAGCTTGGTAATATTTAACAGTTTAGACCACACATGGCTGATTTCAGTAGCTTCTATTTTTCCACTTTCTCAGTTATAATCTCATCTCACTTCAAGTTGCCTCACGTGTCAGAGAATTTCCACTTTCCCCCGCGCCCCTGGAGCCTGAGGTTCTCGATACTTATTTCCGAAAGATTTTTGACTCGCTTGACTGTTGGCTACGTTTATATGATTATTTTCTTGAGATTTTCAAATCTTTCAAAGATTTTTCAGACCTTTGGATGTTCTAGAAATTCATCGATGTCAATAAAACATTTTCAACATTTAAACCTGATTTCGACAGATGTTTCATGCGTTTCAGATGGAATTCTTATTTGACTGTTCCTTAGTTCCTTCTGGTACCTAAGAAAAATCACTTTCCCCACTTGCAGTGTGCTGAGTCATTCAGTTATTTTTATGCACCGATCAGTATAAATGAAATGTCCCATCACTATCCTAGTCGCGACTGAGTCACGTGACATCTGGACAAAACAACACTGTTGCCAGACTTAGCGATTTTCTGCATTTTTTCTTCACTTGTCCGCTGGATATTTCCAGCATTTTTGGCTACATTGGTAATTCCATTAAAGTTCGCCTTTTTTACACCGGATGGAACAATCTACCAAAGATGCTTAAAATCATAATACCTAGTCAATTTTCATGAAAAATCCGCTGTATGTAGGTATATAAGAGCTTTCTTACATTGGTTCATCAATTTGATGATACAACACATTTGCCAAAGATGATCATAATCAGGATAGTAAACTATGACGGAGGTCCACTGTATATAAGAATTTTCAGATACTTCATTTGCAATTTGACAACAGATCATGATGGTGTTCACACTTTTCAAATATTCTTCAAGAAGTGTTATCAGTCTAGCTCCAACTATCATAAGTACTATGTTTGTGTTCCTACTTTAAATTCAAAACCAGCAAATGTAAAAGATTCATGTCGCACCCTCCACCACGGGACGTGATCTTCGTTACACTTGGCAACCCTGCGAATCACAGATAGATATCCCCGACAGTCAAAAAGACAATCAAACAATAAACATTACTAGTTTTTATGATTTTTGGACTTAAAAGACATTATTTGTGAGACATGTTTCATAATTTTTTGTCTATATCCATAGTAATAATTGTATTACGCATCAGGGAAATGTAGGGATTGACACGTCTTACACATATACTAAGTGACATATAAATCCGAACACCCAGTTTAAATGCTTTTATTTTAATAAAATTTTGTATAAGTACTTAATGAAGCATAATAAGTAAATGATAAAAATTTCAAAATGATTGCACTGCTTTAAAGCCATTTGACCTTTTATAATGTGTGGATGCACCCTGATCAGGTGGTCAATGTCCTCCTGTGGTATCTCATTCCAGGCAACCACCAACTCCTCTCGAAGTGCTTCTAGAGTCTGAGGAGGACGTTGCAAATTGAGCAATCTCCTACCCATCATATCCCACACGTGCTCAATTGGGGATAAGTCGGGAGATCTTGGTGGCCATGGTAACAATGTGACATCATTATGTTGAAAGAAGTCTATTGTGACTCTTGCAACATGTGGTCGGGCATTATCTTGTTGGAAAGTTGGATCTGCCAGGGTGTCAAGATAGGGTAAAAGATGGGGTTCTAGAACTTCGTGGATATAACGCTGCGCGTTCATGTTACCTCTGATGAAGATTAACGGTGACCTGGAACCATAAGCTATAGCACCCCAAACCATAACTCCAACAGTGTGATGAACATGTCTTTCAACAAAAAACTTTGGATTCCTCCTTTCACCACGTCGCCTTCTAACCCTGGCACGACCATCGTGCATGCCTAAACAAAATCGGGAGTCGTCACTAAAGACAATACTGTTCCATTGCTGATCCCAGAGTGACCGTTGTCTGCACCACTCAAGGCGATTACGTCGGTGTTCTCGAGTTAAAGGGAGGACCCAGTGTGGCCGGTATGAAAACAAGCCAAAAGTTCTCTTCCGTCGGTAAACACTTCGCATGCCAATAGGTCTTCCGTGTTCTGCAAACCATTCATTTGCAATGGACCTGGTAGTGGAGAAACGGTCCCTTAATGCCAATAATCTTAGGCGGCGATCTTCACGGTCTGCTGTTCTACGGCGGCGTCCAGTGCCCCTTGCTCTTTGCGTACGGCGTTCTCGAAGCCATGCCTGACAACACCTAACCACAGTGTCTACTCTTCTTTGCACTCCAACTGCAATTGCCCGAAAAGAAAGTCCAGCTTCCCGAAGTCCCATTATACGGCCCCTATCAAACTCACTAAGTTGACGAAATCGTACAGGTCTCCGTACTCTAGGCATCGTAACCGATCGTAAAGGATATCAAGAACCAAAATCCGCCAACGTTGATTCTTTACTGCGGCTGAAATATTCATTTTTTGAGCGTTAGTGAATTAAAAAAAAGCAGTATAAAAACCGGAATGTCCATCTGATAAGGCTGAAAATTTTTTCACTTGTTATATACGGTAAAATAAATACATTCACCAACTTTTATTAAAATAAAACCATTTAAACTGGGTGTTCGGATTTATATGTCACTTAGTATATTATCTGTGTTTTAGGATGGAGAGGACATAATGTTTTTATTGCTTTGAAGAAATTCATTAACCCATAAATTAATAAATGATATTACTATTATGATGTAAAGGAAGATGATGAATTGGATGGAATGTATTATATATTCTATTTTCTTGCAAAATACAGACAAATCCACACTATTCAACAGGTATGTATGATAACACTCAGTATATTGAGCTTGAAAAATTCGAGATTGCCATGAACTAACAAACGTCCAAACCTGCTGCCAAATTTAACAGCTAGAGAATCGACCTATTATATCACCCACTCCCATTCGCTGAGGGGATAACGGATTGTCAAATGTAAACCTATAACATATATCAAAATACATGAAAGTTGTCCTGTTTTTTCTGTACAAAAGCATCACGTTGGAATCAAAAAGTGGTCTTGTTGATAATACAGTCGAATTTGGTATTTTCCCATTGGTCCATAATATTAATGTTGGTGAAATTGGGCCTAAAAGTTGTAAACTATAAAGCCATTTAGACAAAAATCTATTGACTTTTGGACCATGGGTCATATGAACTTTTTGACTTCTTTTAACCGCCCTTATTACCCATTTCAATAATGACTACAATAATGTTTAAACCCTGTATAGCCGGTTGACGGAAACAAGAGTTTTCGGTTTGTTTTTCATGTTTCAGAAAATGCAAACACAACATAAACTCAACCTTAGTTTGAATGATATTCGTTTTCGGGAGACTCCAAAGGGAGTTGTTTTCCGCTAAACAACAAATTGTACATTATTGTCGTTAGTGGCTACTTTGAAATGGCAACAACAAGCACTAACAATTTTGCCTTTGGCCAAACCAAGGATCAAACCGACATGTGTTTCACTCACATAGTTTGACGGGTGGTAAAAATGTCCGTGTCCGTGGCCGTATCGGTATGTCTCGACGGACACTCTCGCTGTATTCTGCTAATTTCTTCTGTTAATTGCCTGGGTACTATTTTAAATTTAAGTCAAATCACTTCTCGCTGACAGTGCGTCTTTTACAATTCTTGTTAGTTAAGTTGGGCTATCTAGGATGATGAGTATCAACTATAGACGTTAGTGTCAGATGTTTCTCAAAGCAGGGTTCAAGTTCTTGTATACAGGTATTGTTTACACCTCCCCGAACTGGCGCTTAGCCAATTCTGAGGCATCGTACACGTTTTGGGGACGATGCGATCTTGTCAGATGGAGGGTACTACAGGTACATAAAAAATGTTATGGACTAATTGCATGGGCCTGTTTGACGGACTTCATCCGTTTAATTTCTCTGTTATACACGTTCGTAGCTAACTTCTTTTCCCAGTGGGTCTGACTTATTGTCTACCACAACCACTCATTTGACCAGCTATTTTATAAATAGGTATGTTTAATGTTAAAGTTCTAGCGGCCTCGACAAGCTCGGAGATCACGGTTCCTTTGGCAGTTTTCCTAGTTTTTTGTAAGTGTACTGGTTCTTCGTTCCCTTATAGAGTTGAATTAAGGTTTATACGTTTTAAATAGTGTAAATTTAATAATGGTTCAAACAAAGGAAAAAATCTGGTAACCGCATCCCTCTCATTTTTGCGCTGTAATATTGTACGCAAAAAAGTTCAACTGAGAATTGGAAAATTGTCCACACGATGTGGGAACACGATGTGACACTGAACAGACATGATACTAACCGAATCAGAAGAAATAATGCTTGGAGGATCTTCCCATATTCCTTCCACCTCTGCATACGATGGAGGAGGTACTCTCGGTATAAACGATCCCGAAGACTCACAGGTTCTTATTTTCGGAGGTGGTGGACCCGGTGGGTGTATCGATATAACTGTTGAATATGAAGGCAGGATAGCTTTGTCTGATTTCTTGGTTGGGGCCTGCATTATCCGTACTTGATCCATTGTGGAACATGAAGCAACTAGAGATCTAAAATGTTTAGTGATTCATTTTCAACGTAAGGCATATATGACATATAAAATGCTACACCATATATCACGTATCTTGACAAGTGACATTGTATCGACAGCGATCTAAAAGCTAACTATCTGCAAGATGACATTTTATTGTTTTTTTACGTTTTATATGTTTTTTACGTGATACCTTGGAAATAGCTGAAGTTAGTGAAGTTCGATGTTAAGCAGTATGTATTATTACTTACATATTAAGAAACACCCTGTATTTAGACCCCATAGAGAAAAAGTAATCAAGTTCACCTGCAAACCTGCACCTTAGACGGTGGTTCAACCTGCTGCATACTAAGTGTGTTCTCTGAAGTACCAGGCATACAGAAAATCTGACTGACTGTATTCAACTCATCATTTTGTTGAATAATAGATGATCTAACGCGAAGTGTAAAGTCCCACATCTCCCCTAAAATGCTTCTGATGGTGCTAGATGCAATTTTCAATTCTTCGTCACCTTGAGCATCTGTGCTAGTGAGGTTTTGTTTGGAAAAGCATAGCGGGCAATCCACATTCTGACTAAAACTCGAAGAAATGGAACAGACGTTAGTAGAGATAATTTTGGATTTATCGTCACCTTGAACCTCTGTAGCAGGGAGAGGTTTTCTAGTAGGCCATACCGGGAAATCCAAATTGTGAGCGAAACTGGAAGATCTGGTAGTTATGTTAGTAGAGACAATTTTGGATTCATCATAACCTTGGGCATCTGTAGCAGTTGGAGGGCTTCTGAAAAGACATACCGGACAGTTCTGGCTGAAACTGGAAGATCTGGTGCTGATATTGGTAGAGATAGTTTCAGATGTCAAAGACCTGGTACTTGGAAAGAGCTCGGAGACTATAACTCTGGTAACTAGGTCATCTAGAATTTGGGCTATGGTTCTTTGGCACGTGTGAATTTTGCTTTCGATGATGTTTTCATACTGGCGCAAGCTAAAAAGTTGAAATTTTGATAAGAAAATAACACATTGTTAGTCACTATCTAGACCCGGGATTTTCCAGGAACTCCGAGACTCTCGTCATTATTTCGTTCAGAAGTTGTGCTATCGACTCACTATCACTAGCCTCAATTTGGTTATTGGTAATATCTTTATGCGGTTCCATTTTGACAAAAAAGTTTATAATTTGACTGAATACTACTGCATGTCACTATCATTAACCTCAATAATTTGCTCAAACATTTCCACAAGACTTAAGATAATAGGCATGAAAACAGAGGATGACTGAACTTAAGCACTAGGTTGAACTCACAACCAATCGCTTGGTGCGCAAAAAAAAGTTTTGAGAAGTTGATACCCGTATATATTTCGATGTAATGTAACCGAATTTCCACATTGCGATCTATCTTTTCTCCTCGAGCCACTATACAGGGTGTTCGAAAAATAGACGGAGATATTTTAGAGGATGATTTCTTGAGAACAAGTTCCTATAAATATGAGTCCGGAAATGCAGAGTTTTCAAAAAAACAGGTTGATAATTAAAACTTTTTATTAATATTTTAAAAAATATTTTACTCGATTCAGTCAAAATTTGGGAAAATCATTTGTTGTATGAAGGGGATAATTTAGCTCTAAATAGATTTAAATTATTGGGTCCAGTAGCGTTCCGGGGGTACCTTAGCGAAAAGTATTAGCAAAGAAATGTTCACCACTGCCTTTTTTGTAACTTTAGTGTTTTAATCCTCCCTTAAACATTCCTCAAGGAAGCGTCATTGTTTCACTGTTTCCAAGGAGAGATCCATTGTTTCCAAGGAAGCCTCAAGCCAAGAACGGTCTATAAATCTGACCGATTTTACTATTGAGCCGCGGAATCAAAATTCTTGATCCGGATCAAAATGAACCAATGAGAAGACATCTTTGTAGTAATGGATCAAATAACATAGTCGATTTCTTCTAAAATACGGGGACTTCGAAGTTGAGTCATTTATTTTAACAGTGAGTAGATCTGATCAAAAGAAATGTTTTTTTCCTTTACCATTTTTCTGGTAAAATTAAAGTAACAAAGTTATAGCCCTTTGGAAGTTTGAGTACCGCCCTGTCTCAATAATAATATTATGTGCTCGTGTTTGGCGACAACGGATATAATCCGCCTTATCGGTTCATCGCATCGGAAACAAAAAAGCGAAAGAATTTGGAACGATGTTTTTACAATTATTTCATTCAGTTGTATACAGTCAGTGTCAGTCGGTAGTGGATAGTGGTGTCTGTTGCGTGGCTCAAACGAAATAAAAAATGGCACATGTTTATACGGATCGGTTTCTCAATCGAGTACAACGGGTTCGTGAATCAGGTGACTTAAGACCTCACATATGGACGGCATGCCGGTGCTCCAAGACCTCACGATCAAATACAGGTCCGCACTGAAATACTTGTCGGGAGGATACTTTATAAAACAAGGTAAATTTTTTATTTTATTTTTACATACATATTTTGGTTTATCTTCCTTCTACAATCATTATCTGAAAATTAATGACTCAACTTTAAAGTCACCAAAGATGCCATTGCTATATTACATTACACGATAAACCAGTATATTTGAGAGGATTATAGGTAGTATCGATATTTAGTGCAGCTGTGCAGTGCACCTTTCGATAATTCCCATCACTATCATACTATGACAGCCCATGACACGACGACCCCCATACCAATGTTGCCGGACCTACCGATTTTTCCGTATTTCTACCGAAATGAGACGTCATTTACCGAAATACCGGAAACGTCCTCATTTTCCACGATTTTTAAAATATATTTCCAGATTTTTTACCGAAAAAGAGGCGGGTCAAAAAATAAACTGAAAAGAAATAATAATAATAATAATAATAATAATAATAATAATAATAATAATAATAATAATAATAATAATAATAATGTTTATTGTCACAAAATACAAGTAAATATCAAATATTGTGCACAATAAACATAAAGCACCCAAAAAAAGTTTGCACTTGTGTTTGGGTTTGTACAAAATAAAAACTAATAGTACAGTCAGTGTACGAAAAAAAAAAAAGAAAAAACCCATTAATACTGTATAATTTGGTGAATTATTATGGTAATGTCTGGAAAAATATTCAGACAATTAGAACTGAAGTAAAAGTATGGATTTTAGTGTAAGTAAAATATTATTGATTTCGATAATGATTTTCCAGATCTACAATTTCGTGGATGGAGTACCTTGGTTGTTGTAAAATCCATTTTTTTAGTTGTTTTTTAAATGATTTATTTGATTTAATTACTTTTAACGACTCTGGTATGAAGTTATAGAATTTTGGTCCCAAGAAAAACAGAGATCGTTGTGTAATGGTTTTTGATGTTTGTGGAATACACATTGAAATTTTGATTGAATCTTGTTGGGTAGTTATGAATGGTACGATTAAAGTATTTTGAATATTTGAAATAATGTATTAGACCACAATAAAAATAAATTTGTCTGCAATCTAATAGCTGAGCCTCCACATATAGAAAATCACTTGAATAAGTAATCTCCCTATGGAGGATCAATTTTAGAATTAATTTTTGGATTACCTCAACCTTTTTGTAATTATTATTCATAACTCCCCCCCAAACCAAAATTCCGTAAAGTAATAGAGGATAAACAAGAGCATAATATAGATTATATAGATATTTCTTATCTAGAATATCTCTGAAGTACCTGAATTTTGGAATAATTCATCTCAGTCTCTTCACAAGGTACTCTGTATGGGTATCCCATTTTAAGTGTTTGTCCAAAATCACGTCTAAGTATTTTAATTTATCGGCTGACTGAATCTCTTTGAGACCACTGCTTGTATGAATTTCAAGTTTTTTAAATTGTGGTGAGAGCCTGTCGTTACAAGAAAATGCTATATAGTGTGTTTTGTTGTAATTAATTGTCAAAGTTCTTTCCGAAAAGAAATTTATAAATGTTTTGAAATCATGTTCGATTGTGGTTTTTAGTGTATGCCACTGGTTGCTTTCATAGAGAATAGCTGTATCATCCGCAAAACCGATAACTTTACCTGTACTATTTATTTTGAATAAATCGTTGATAAATAGATTAAATAATATGGGTCCTAATACTGAGCCTTGAGGTACACCGTGTGATATAATATGGGGTTCACTGAATGTGTTATTAATTTTGACGCACTGTGTTCGATTCGACAAATAATTTTCTATAAGTTTGTATGTTATTCCCCGGAAACCTAAGTTTTCTAAAGTTGTTAAAAGCGATTCATGAGTAATAGAGTCGAATGCCTTTGCCAAGTCAACAAAAACACAAGCAGTTGGTTTGCCAATATCGAGATTCGTGTATATTTTATTTGTTAATTTTACAATAGCATCTTGAGCAGATTTGCCTTCTTGAAAACCATATTGCTCTTCCGCTATTAAGTTATATTTTTTTGCAAATTCGGTGAATCGTTTTTTTAACACTTTTTCAAATATTTTAGAAAAATTTGTTAAGATTGAAATTGGTCGATAGTTGATGGGTTTTTCTCTTTCTCCAGATTTAAATAATGGTTTTACCATAGCGTGTTTTAAACATGAAGGGAATATTCCTTTATTCATACAAGAATTTATCAAATATGATAGTATGCCGCAGATGTTGCAATTTATTCTCTTGAGAGTATACGCTGTTATATTATCTAGACCTGGAGATTTTCTTAATTTCAATTCATTGATTATTGTCTTTATTTCATGCGTATCGGTCGGTTCCAGATATAATGAGTTATATAATCTGGTCTTACAATAATTTAATTTCTCAGCGTTTTTTATGCTTTCTGACAACCTTTTCCCGATTTTTGAAAAATATTCAAAAAATTAATTTGCTATATCTACATCATTACTCACTAGTTCACCATTTTCTTTTTTAATTGTACTAATTTTGTTGTTTTGTTTTTTGCCTTGTATTTTATTGATAAATAGCCACATTTTGGACGAACAATTTTGTAGATTATCAAACTCGTCTTGGAGATATTTAATTTTAGCCTCTTTAATTATTTTTGTCAGTCTGTTTCGATATGATTTAAATTCATTCAAAAGTGTAACATCATAAGGATATTTTTTGGTTTCCTTATATAATTCTATTTTTTTGTTGATGGAGGTAATAATCCCTTTTGATATCCATGCTTGTCTTTTTATTTGTGTTCGTGGAATCTTTATTGTTTTGGTGCATTCAGCAATATGGCCTTCAATGCTAGATATAAAAAGGACAAATGCATTTTCAATATTAGGTTCGTCATATACTACAATCCAATTTTCATTGAGTAAGTTGTTATTTAGTTTTTCATAATCAATGTAAATTTTTGTATTATTCACTGTCTTTTCAATTTTGGTTGATGTACTTTCAAGATCGATTTTGAGCAAAGTAGGAAATTTTGTATTTTAGAATTGCTGAATATATTTTGTCAAGTTCTAAACGTGAATTTATAAACATATGATCTATACAACTCCCACTGTTTCCTTCTACTCTTGTCATTTCGTTAATGGCTGACAGGTAACCATGTTCAGCCATTATATTTAAATAATCTTGAATATTTTGATTGTTATGATCTAATATGTTAATGTTAAGGTCTCCAATGAATAAGTTGATATCAAATTTTCTACTGCTTTCTAGATAATCTAGTAATTGACCGTTAAATGTTGTTACAGATATACAGGGTGATTTGTACACACCAATGATCTGTATCCATTTATTATTCTTTTGAAGAATAACTCGTAAAAGTTTTGTTTGAGTTATATTAATAATTTCATACCCACTGTTCAAATTTTGTCTTACGTAAATCAGAACCCCGTCATTTTTATTAAAACTACCATCGTTATAATATAAATCATAATTGGGAATTTCGATCAAACTTGTATCATATACTTTAAATGTTTCAGTTAGCACTATAACATCAAATTTAAAATCTAGTATATCCAACAAGGCTCCTTATGTTCGTGTGAAAGATGTTCAATCCTGAATCAATATTATTAGAAAAACGTAACTTTGTTGTAGGTAAATCGTCTAAAATATTTGTTTTAATTATTTCAGGTCCAAATTCTGTAATGTATCTACTCATAAATATTCTAAGTCCTTAGCAATTTAGAATAAAATTCTTGATATATGTCTTTGTTGGAAAAATTTAAATACAGCACAACATTTATCTGTAGGGGAGTGATGTGTATTATAGTTTTCATTATATTTTTTGTTTGAATACACACAGTTGCAACAAATGGGATTAGTAGATTTGTTGCATGAAGTATCATCATGTTCTTCTCCACATTTGAAGCAT